CGCTTTCTTTTTATTGGGAAGATGATAAGATGAGATATTTAATTAAATTTTATGGAAAATTCTTACTAGTGAACTCCAATTACTTAATTTTACAAGTGGTAAACATTCTTAAAATCTATTATCAATGGTAAACCTAAATTATTGGTTACCATTGATAAGTGTTATTTTACTAAAAATTCTTAACTATAGTTAGTTTTTATTTATTAATTTTATTTATAAAAAAAATAAAAAAAAAACCTCCTCCACCCAACCTAGCCACTACTTCACCAGCAACCCTTCCCCCCTACCGGCGACAAGGCCACTGACGGCAACACACGACCCCCCTGGCCCACCACTGGCCGCGATGTCAAGCTTCCCCCACCCACCTTCTCTCGATCTTTACCCCATCTCAACACCTCCCATTTCCCCGCCTAACGCCTCACAGCCATTCGTTCCCCTTTTCCGACGAATCTTATTTCCCACATCTCAACGCTCTTCCCCAACGACTCCCCTCCCCTCCCCTTTTTGCGCAGCCCTTAAACCCTACCCAAAATCAATTGAAAACCCAAACCTGTTTTCTGGCTTTGGTTTCAAAACCCTCAACTGGTTTGGGTGTTTTTAATTTGGTGTTTTGATTCTGCAGGAGATTCGACATGGGTAGGGCATCAGCGGCTGGGGTGGGGTGTTAGGCGTCGGTCGGTCAGGGGGAAGGGGTCAGGTGGCTAAGTGGGTGCAGAAAAGGGGTTGATTTTTTTTTTTAAAGCAATTAATTCTAGTCGCTGGTAGGGTCGGTGCCAGCGTGGGGTCATGTGGCTAGGCAGGTGATTCTGGTGGCTAGGTGGGTGGTGGGTGGCCAAGTGGCTAGGTGGGTAGATCAAGTGGCTAGGCGGGTGGGTCAGGTGGCTAGGCGAGTGGTGAAATAAATTAGGGCAAAATAGGAATTTTAGGGTTTTTAAAAAAAAACATTTTTAAATGTTAACTATAGTTAAATAATTAGATTAAATCATAATTAAGGTTACCAATTGATTAATCATTCTATTTGGGGTTTATCATTGACAATTAATTTTAAGAATGTTTACCACTTGTTAAATTAAGTAATTGGAATTCACCGATGAGAATTTTCCAAATATTTATTTTTAATTAAACCAGTTTATTCATAATTTTGGACCAAAAATAGTAAAAATATAGTGACACTTAGAAAATTTTATCTACTTTTATTTCACTTGACGAGTAGAATTAACAAAATTCTATAAACATTCTTCTTAATAGAACGATCCATATATACCTACAAATTTAAATTACAATTTGCATCAAAAAATAAATTTAAATTACATCAAACAAACATTCAATTAGCACGTAAAATATGAGGTCTAAAATATATACATTTAATTTTTTTTATCAAATTTCATGTTATGATGTAAATAAAAAAAATAAAAAAAAAAGGGCATTTTGTCAAAAACTACCTAATAAAACTCATGTTTTGTGAGAAACTACCTAATAAAAAAGTTGAAATAAACTTCCTAATAAAGATAAAATGTTGTAAAAAAAACTACCTAAGAAAAGTTAAATTGCTGTAAAATACTACCTAAACCAGATTTCCACAGTTGATTGACCTCAAAACACTTTCAAAACCACCGCTTTCATTTTCAAAATTAACACAACTTGCTTGAAATCATATCCACCACATCTAAACCACCTTTTAACCCCAAAACCACCACCTCTAACCCAGAAAACCACCATCCCGAAACACTAATTTACCTCTCCAACTCGGAATATCCTCTAACCACCCTAAACATGACCTTACCACATTGAAAACTAACCCTCACGGTGGTTTCAAGTGTGTTTTAAGGTAAATCGATGTTGTAAAATTAAGTAAATGGTGGAATTTTTGTCAAAGGTGGAATCATACAACATTTTATCTTTTACCAGGTACTTTCTTACAACATTTTTTTTTTATTAAGTAGTTTCTCACAAAATTTAGGCTTTATTTGGTAGTTTCTCATAAAAATTCCTATGATATGATGCAAAAATCCGTAATCACCTTTAATTTTATAATCTTTAATTTGAAGTATTAAAATCAAGATGGATTAAACAAGATAAATAGAGGAATAAGAAATACTTCCTCCATTCTTTATTACTTGACCCGCTTTGACTTTTACACTATTCACCACCCCTCCTTTGACCGTCTTTTGTGAATAATATGTAAGGCAAAATATATCCATGTATGATTTTTTGGATTCGTCTTAATAAGTACTATCATAATTGTTAGGAAATTAGGGTGTAATTGTGTTTGATTAATGCGGAACAAATCAATGAAATTAAGAATTGAGAAAAACAATAAAGAAGATAAACAAAAAAACACAAGGATTTACGTGGTTCGGTCAAAATAGACCTACATCCACGGGTGGGGAATTCGAGAGCTTCTTCACTATAATGGAGAAAGAAACAAGAGAATAATACAAGGAGTCTTAAATCTAATGGCTCAAAAGGTATGATCTAATTGATCAAGTAAAGGGTCCTTTTATAACACAAGGAAACCCTAATAAAACCCTAAAATTGTTCCCCAAGTGTACTCAAATAGCCGTCATAGAAAAGATATAATTTTAGGAAATATTCCATAAATTATCCTAGAATAACCTAACTACCGAGCTATAGCTCGGCAGCTAGCTCATACCTGCCGCAAGTCTTCATAGGGCCGAGCTATAGCTCACTCGCATAGAGCTATAGCTCGCAGCCTCGTTGAAAATTTCCAGCTTCGTCACGTTTTTGTAAAACGGTCATAACTTTCTCGTTTCTTATTGGAATTGGGCATATGACCTATCGTTGGAAAGCTCTTGAACCAAGCTATCACCTCTAACTTGAATCACCTCAAAATCAGTTGTAGTTTGAGAGATATAATCGTTCAAAGTCAGCCATACTAGATTTCGAGTCACAATTTAACAATAAGGGAAATTCTCTTTGGTGAACTCCAATTTTTTTGTTTTCCAAGTGGTAAACATTCTTAAATTTTATTATCAATGGTAAACCTAAAATTTTGATTACCATTTATAAGTGTTATTTTAATAAAAATCCTAAACTATGGTTAGTTAGTTTTTTTTTTAATGATTAAATAATTATAAAAGTAATTTTTTTAAAAAAAAAAAAACCAAACCCCTCCCCCACCCAACCTAGCTAGCCACCAGTAGGCGACAACCCCTCTGATCCCCTGCCGGCGGCCATTCCTCTGCCGGAGACACCCGACCTCCCCCACCGCCGACGACTCCTGACCTCCCCCTCCTTGTTCAGCGACGCCTAACCTCCCCCGCCCCACCTTCTCTCTTTCTCCCATCCTGATATCTCCCTCGCCCTACCTTCTCTCTTCCTTCCCCTCCCCAATTCTGACCACTAACTCCCTTCCCCTTCCTAATTCTGGCCACCCTTTCCCTTCTCCTCCCATTTCTTGCCATCCCCTCCCTTTTCCTCCCCGATTTCAACAACCACCAACCCCAGCACCAGCCCACAACACCATCGAAATTAGCGCTTCTACTGCTACTCCTCTTCTATTCGCAAACACACCACTCACAAACGATGCCCGCAAATTCCTCATTGGTTGTGATTGTGGCTGTGAATAGGGGTGCTTTGCGAATTGCGGTTGAGATTGGTGGGAATTGTGGTTGCGATTGGTGGTATTGGGCTGCGATTTTGTTGCGGCTGTGAAAATGGTTAGGCGTTTCGTGGGTAGCAGCAACAGTTGGTGGTTTTGTTGTTGGAGATGCTGAGTGGAGCGCTGGTGGTTGGAGGAGTGGTGCATTGGTGGTGTATTTGGGATTTCAATAGGTGGTTTAGGGGAAGGGGAGGGGCTGGGCGGTCGGGCTTTGGGTCAGGAGTGTACCGCCGGCACCGAGTAAATCCTCTGCCCGCCGACGGGGGTAATGGGTGGTGGTGTGGTTGCTGTCGGTGAGGAGAGGGTTTTTTTTATTATAAAAAATATTTCTAAAATAAATGTTAAAAAAAAAAAAGCTAACTATGGTTAGATATTTAGTTAATATTTATCATTAGTGTTATATTTGACTTAGTATAAAATTTTAAGTTTACCATTGATAATAAAATTTAAGAATGTTTACCACTTGGAAAATTAAAAAGTTGGAGTTCACCAAAGAGAATTTCCCTAACAATAATATATAACTTTTATAATTTTTACTTATGGAGAATTTAAGTTATTGATCGTTAAAGTTTTGCATTGGCAAGCGTGATAAAAGAAACAGGTCAAGTAAAAAAAAACAGAGGAAATATGAGAACTACCTTTGAAAGTTTCAAAGAAAAAGAGAGAAAAATGTTGAATGATGTATTTAGAATTAGAGAAATTTTATTGTATTTGTGAATAATGAAAAATACAGCATAATTCAGCTTATATATGATCTCATTACATAAAAATTTTCTAGAATAAACTTATAACAAAATGAGGGAATCTGTTATAACAACTTTTGCTGAGCTGGCAGAGTTTGTTACAAACTCTGATGACCTGGCAAACCCTTCTATAACCACTTTGCTGAGAGTCCTCCGATGTAGCCATACTCTCAATACCCCCCTTCAAGTTGGGAGATGGTGAATGCATTCCCAACTTGGAAAAAACAGCAAGTATTTTAGGAGAAGGAATTATTTTGGTAAAAAGATCAGCCAATTGAGCTTCAGTAGGAAGATAAGCTAACTGCAATAGGCCTTCCAATACCTTGTCTCTTGTGAAGTGACAATATATTTCGATATGCTTTGTACGCTCATGAAATACAGGATTTTCGAGTAATGTGCAAAGCAGATTGATTGTGACAATATAGAGTAACAGGCTTCAAATTAGTGACACCCACTTCTTCCAATAACCTCATTGTCCATGTTACTTTAGAAGTTGCTGAAGACATGGCTCGATATTTTGCCTCAGTTGAGGACTTAGATACCAAACTTTGCTTCTTGGATTTCTAAGCAATAAGAGATTTTCCAAGTAGCAATATGTAACATGTCACATATTTTGTGCTGTCTACACATCCTGCTTAGTCTGAATCAGAAAAAGCATGAAGATAAAGCTTAGGTAAAGCACTGAGTAAAATTCCTTGGACTTCAGTCTGAGCTACATAGCTCAGAGTATGTATAAGAGCCTGCAAGTGTGAAGTGTAAGGGTGATGCATAAACTGACTTAAAGACTGGACAACAAAAGATAAGTCAGGTCTGCTTGTATAGATTAAAAAGTTCAATTTCCCAACATGTGACCTATACACTTCTGCATCTAGCAAAGGTTCACCAGGCTCTTGTTGCAGTTTCAAACCCAGTGGCAAAGGTGTAACAGCTCTGTTCTTCAAGGGTATATTACAGTCATGAATTAATTCTCTTTTAAATTTTTTTTGACTTAGCAAAATTCCTGCATCAGAATATCCAACCTCAATACCTAGAAAGTAACTGAGCTTCCCAAGATCTTTGATGCTAAGAAGAATATGTAAAGCTGCTTTGAGTTCTTGCATAGCATCAATATCAGTTCGTGTAAGGATGATATCTTCCACATAGACAACAACTACGCAAATCAGGCTATTTCTTCTTTGAATGAAAAGACTATATTCATTTTTGGATTGAATAAAACCCATTTTGAGAAAAACAACAAACACAAATCAAATCTAGAAACAAGAAATATGCAGAAACAAGATATTCTACTCTTGATACCATGAAAGTTTCAGATAAAAAGAGAGAAAAATGTTAAATGATGTAATTAGAATCAGAGAAATTTTATTGTATTTGTAAATAATGAAAAATACAGCATAATTCAGCTTATATATGATCTTATTACATAAAAAACTTTTAGAATAAACTTATAACAAATTGAGGAAATATGTTGTAACAACTTTTGCTGAGCTAGCAGAGTTGTAACAAACTCTGATGATCTGGCAAACCCTTCTAACCACTTTGCTGAGAGTTCTCCGCTGTATCCATACTCTCAATAACCTTGCTTGATTTATTATGCTTTTTATGTAGCAAGAATGAATATATATATACCTACTATTAGGTTAAACCCATGCTAAATATTTCTTTGATAATAAAAAATAAAGATTTGAACGCCAATTATTAAAAAGTATGAAGTATATTAAACATAAAAAATAATTTATTTTTGTAGAAAAAAAAACAAATAGAAAGGAAAATTTTTCATCGCAATGTGACAAGTGTCATGTCAATATTTTCTTTTACATAGGTTCAAATTAATGTAAAAATATCTAGGTATTGTGTACTTTATTAAAATACGTAGTCAACGACAAGTTTTTGTATTATCTCCGTTTTAAAATGTTTGTGTCATTTGAAATTTTAAGAGATTATTAAAAGTTATTTAACGTGGAAAGATGAATTCACAAAAATAAGTTCCTAAAATATTAGGAAGTGATTATTGATAGTAGTATATTAATAACTCTCACAAAGGAGTAGTACAAAATGAAAAGTAGATTCGTAGTAGAGAAGTTGGATATTATACAAGGATGCTAGGGTTGAGCAAGACTTTTTGTATGGGTATGGCTCTTATGTGTAGATCTTGATTGAATTCCCATCACCAATATTTATAATTGAACTAGTTGTTGGCCCGCGCACAACGCGTGCGGTCCCCCAACGGTGATTTTGCTTTGGTGATTAGTGTCTAATTAGTCGCTGTTTATCCTTTAATGTAATTTGCCGTAATTTGATTGTTGGTGGGTGTTGTTTTCTTAGACTATTTAACTCAGATTATCATCGTATAGATGGAGCAAAATCATCATTTTGCTAATATTGTATTAGAGTTTCGTTTGTTATATTTGTTAAAAAATAGAGAATCATCATTTAAACTTGTGTTTCTCTATAGTCCATTCACCTCACTTAGATTTTTACTAATGATTGCATTTAAGTCTTAAAAAAAAATGTTGAACATTATATATAAATGTTCCTATTAGCTTGAAGATGAGAAATTATGACAAAAATATATATGAAGTACGAGTTGGTGAAGTGGTCCTGATTACTGGATCTGTAACTTTCAAACTAATAATATTTCTAAATTTAGGAACTCGCCAACTAATAGTTACAATATCATAAATAATACATTAATAATAATGGTCACTTGCTCATGCTTTAAGGAATAATTAAAAAGGAAATCAAACTTAAACAAATACATACCTACTGACGTATGCAAAGCATTACTTTAACTTTATTACAATTAATTAATTAATTAATTAGTTAATTAATTAATACACTTTGCTACTAATAGTTAGAATAAAGGACAGTTTAATTTTTTAAATATTGATTAATTAATACACTTTGCTACTAATACATTGTAACTATAAGTTTGTCTATATTGTTAGAATAAAGGACAGTTTTAGGTGTTCACTTCTTAATTCACGCGATTAGTTCTTTTATATATAGTTAGCTACTAATTTACAATTTATATATAGACAAATAATTTTCTATACCAGTAGTATAGTGTTGTAGTGGAATTTTTATAAACCTTTTGTATGTATCTACCTTGGTCATTTTTTGTAATAGTAGATCCTTTCGAATTTTTCTAGTGAGTAATTGCTTCAAATATTTCGTTTATTGGTGGAATGATCCATAAAAATAGCTTCATATTTATTATGATTTCCAACAATATTTAAAATAATTTAAAAGTATATTAAATTACATTTATTAAGTAATAGTAATTATATTACATGGTAATATCGTGACTTTACACTATATACTTTAAGATACAATTTTTTCTAATGATATGTAAAACTTTTTTCGCTATTAGCCATCTAACGTGTAAAATCCTCCAAAATGAAGTTGGTCGGTTGGTGTTGATCTTCTATTATGGAGTTTTCTTCCATCTCTTTCATGTAAACACCAACACCATTGGCTTTACCGGCCAATTTGGATTCTGTTTAGGTGTTTAGTTGTCCATTTTTTAGTGATTTTATTTAGTGACAACTCACCTAAACAGATATATATACGTGTACGTAATATGAAAAATATCTAAAATTATAGATTTTCTCATATTTGCACACTTCTCCCAAGTTTATTTGTTGGAGTTGGATTCTTCTGATGGAAATTAATTCCATTTCTTTGACATAAACACCCACTCCATTTGCTTTAATGCATAACTTGGGATTTATTTATACACTTTAATATTAATATGTTACTTCTGCAGTGAATTTAACCACCAGCAACATAATTATATTAAAGTGCATTTTAAGGGAATACGTTACCACCAACTTTGGTGCTGATTCCCTGTTTTACCACGAACTTTGCTGTTGATTGTGTTTTTATGTGTAGATGTAACGGTATTTTTATGTAAACTGAAATTGTTTTTTGGTTTATAATAGGAAGGGGAAGTCGATATATTTTGGTAGTTATTGTTTGAGGCATTTTTTAAGTTAGGATGATAAGGAATTTGTGTTTTTCTTTTTGTAGAGAATTTTTGGTTTCTATTTGGTTTGCAATGTGTTGGAATGAAGTATTTTGTGTTTGCTCATATTCATGTTAAGTCCTATTTATAGTAAGAAAATGCTCCTTTTTATTATTATTTTTTTTTTACAGGTAAAATTTTTTTTAGGTGAGCAATTTGTTTTGTAGTGCTTTCATTATTGCTTTTTATTTGATTGCATGCATGTATGAACGGCCCACCAATATCAAATTGCTAAGCAGCATGATATTCTTGTAAAAGAACATCATCTTAATACAATAATGTAACAATTACTAAAGAAATTACATACTTACAAGTTACATTGAGAATCTTAAGCATTTGGAGAACCACCATGATACGAAGTTCGTTTGACAGTTATAATCTATGTGATTGGTCTGTTAATTATATCACTTTAAATAGATTTTTAATTATAAACCGCAGAAATGTAAGCCAAAATGCTTAGACTATCCAACAAAGCAGTTGGGAGAAGAATTAGAGCAATGATTACTATGAAGCATGATTTGCCTTCGATTGGGATTCCAAATACTCCAACTGAAAATTCCGGGAATACCTTGTTTAGATTATCTCCTTCCGAGATCATGTAACTTGTAGTAACCATATAAAGTTCAACATAAAGAACGATTGATACGATTACTTTATCAGCATTACCAAAAGTATACTCTTGTTTAGCATAAGTAATTTAGCTTTACTTTAACAAGCAAATGAATTGATAATTTGTTCAAATTAAATTGAGCAAGTTTAAAAGTTCAATGGCTTAAAAGTACTACGGCTATTCTCTTTGAAAAATTGTAGCTTTAAGCATCACCTTTATTTTGATAATACCTTGCATAGTGCTTCTGCTTCATAGAGATATTTTACAATGCATTCACTTTAAGCATCACATGGCTACAGCTGTAAACGAATGGTGCATGATAAATTGCAATTGCTGTCATCTCTGAATAAGTGTCATGCATGCTTGTTTATTTTGCTGCAGTATGAACATGCATGCTTCTTCACAATTTGGAATTAATGATGCAACTTTGTTGTCAAGATTCTGCAATGTTGAGTCTTATCTTGAACAAATTATATTGCCATTGCAGTTAGCTATGTTGTATATTTTGGTGGGATGTTCAAATGTTGTGAATTATTTTTAAGAGTTAACTATACTGAGGGTTTTAAAGGTTCATTTAAATTGGGTGTAAGATAATAATAAATAAGACTTCAAAGGATTAAGACATTACATTTCAAATTAAGTTTTGATTTCTAAAGAATGTTCAGCGAAATTGACATACAACCATAGGTTATGTCTATTACGCATGAAATGGACTCCGTCTATACTTTATTCATGTTTCAGTTTACTTGTGGTTTAATATATTAGTGTGGTTGGTATAAGGAGAGATAATAATAAGGATAGTATGATTATATCAGAAATCATATAATCACTATTAGCTATCAAGATCTGATATCAAGATTAATCAGTGTTTTTGAGGAGTGATACTGTAGTAATTTAATGTTTATAGCTCAATTCTGATTATGGGATCATATGAGCTAATTGAGCTAGACTTTTGATATTTAAGTATGAACTTCAATTAAGTGATTTTGGTTGTTTGTATTGATAATACATGATATTAACTGGGTAGTTTGAGTGGGATTTTTACTTTAATGATGTGTCCTTTGTAGTGTACCTGTGTCCATTATTTTTTGGCTCTTAGGAAAAAAAATTGGTCAATTATATGGGTATTGAATTAACTATCATGTAGTGTAACATTTCAGTATTTTTATACTGCCTTGCTAAAATTTTGCTTATTTTTCCAACTTGATGATGATTTAATTCATAAATGTTATGATCATAGATATATTTGGGATTTTATAAAATTAAGGTATGAGCTTCTGAAATGTTGATTACTGAATAGTTCTTACAGGAACTTAGCAGAATTGGATTTAATCTATGTATGGAAGCCATTGATTTCTGCTTATCGAGCATAAATTCGTTTGGAGGACTTCTTGATGGTAAAGGGATGCCTCAATCTCAGCTACTTGGTATTTAGGTCACTTAGTCCCGATCTCATAAGACAATTAAGTGAGCAAAAGTGACTGATTTACATTGCAACTGACGGCCTTAAATATGATGTGGCAAAGGAGAATTTGACGTTATCATACCATCGGAAGTTTTAGCACCCAAAGGTGCAGCCTACTTTTTGTTGTCCATATTGCTCACCAAGATCTCATCCAGTTTGCAAACTTCAAGCTTTTTTGGGATTTTTTTTCATTAGTGTATTTTGACAATTCCTTACTGGGTTTATTTAATTACTATGTATTATAAACTACAATGCTACATTGCTAAAATCAGGGGTTTAGTCTCTGTTCTGAGTTTTTATATATTTATCCCAATTTTGGTTAAAGTGTTATAATTCCTTTGTCTTGTATAATATTTCAAAGATTTTTTCCAACTTTAAATCTAACTGATGCCATTTTGATAGTCCAAGTTGCTGCTTTAAACTTTAACATTTCATATTGCGACTCTAAAGCTTTATTAAGGTCTGTACTGTCCTAATTTAAAGAGCATCCATCAAAATCTTGAAGGAATGGTGCTACTACCATACATGGTTAGCTACACTAATGTTCATGCTATGTCAGATTATGACTGAGACTCATCTAAGCAACTACCCTGGCTAGGATTGAAGGTTGTGTTTTTAATCCTTAGTTGGGTGATCATCTGAATGAACTTCTAAACAATTGACAAATATAACAGCAATTCTAGATGGTTTATTATTGTATGACTTATTTGAGAAGATACATGTGTGTGGATTGATTTTAGATTGTGTACATCTCTTATAAGCTTTTGTACAGTGATTTGATTTTATACTGCAAAGCTGAAGTATTTGCAGTCCATGAAGAGTGCCTTCTCATATTTTGATTCACATGGCTACAGTTTTTATCTATTGTACTCATATAATGTACAATGTACTCTTTATCTTTTAGTAATTGTAATTACTATGTGATGCATTATCTGTTATTTGATAATGTCTTTTATTATTTTATGAGGATTTAAGCTTAGTTTATAGCTATTGAATACTAATAACTGTTGAGTTTATATAGATTTACTGCTGAATTTGTTTGCTTTATTCATATGCTGGAACGTTTTAAATATTGCTGATGATGCTGCTTTTGTTTTGTAGTGGCTGAATTTTATTACTTGGCTTTATATAGAGCAGTAACATTAATATTTTAATTTGAGTATTTATCTTGTATTTATTTATCAGGCTGTACTTTGATAAATTCCAAAGGAGTTATTGTATTTGTGATTTGATTAATAGGTATGTAAGTTTGAAATTCACTGACCAAGTTTCAAAGGAGTTTTCTTTTTATTTGTGAATTTCTCCTTTCTTTCTTTTTATTGTTGAATTTTATAGCTTATGCGACTTATCTGTATTGATGTTTTATAAATTAAGTTTGAATTCTCATAAGATGATTATTTTCTTTATCTTGATCCCTTTTTTTTATAATTTCACTTAGTTCTTTAAAAAAACAGTATAATAATAAATTTCAAATAAGCCACATATATAAAATACTATATTTTTATAGATATAATTTAACATCCGTTGTAATATAGCAATACATTAGACCTTGATCTATTTATGGTGTTTGCCAGGAACACTAACTGTTGTTACTGTTCCTGGGAAACCCTCAAAAGAGCAACTCCTACAGCATCTTACTTCTATATACATGAAATTTTGAAAGTAAGTTGAAGATTAAGTACTACACGATGCTAGAGTTTTATATAAATACATGGGAAACTATCTATTGTGCTTAGCATTCTGAGCAAAAGAGAATTTCTTATAGTTGTCCATATATTTGTAATCTAGCAAAATATTTAATACTTAGATGATGTGCAGGTAGTGCACCTTAGATTGTTGTTCTGCAGTACTCCATTAGGCTATTATATATATTTTTTGTAGTTCACCACCTTATCATTTGTCGTGGCAGATTTGATGGAAGATTATTTCGGCTTCTCAGACTCCACAGTTACAGGTTTGGCTTGCTTCTTGTCAGTTTTCAGGGGGACAGGTTCATCTTGAGCTTGATCCTTTCTTGGTGATATCTCTAGTCCTTGGGCTGTCTTGTTCTTCTCTGGAGTCATTCCGCCGAAGCAAAGTTTCTTTTTTGCATGGAATTGTGATAGCGGTGGCTCGGATTCAGTTTCCTCATCTTGGAATTGGACAGGAGTTTTCCCTAAAGCTTTCTTGCGCTTAAGCGATTCGATATCTCCCTGAGCTAACTCTAGTGTTTGAGTGAAAGGGCTATCTTGTGTATGTTTTTCTGAAGAACCCTTCATGTTTGGGGTTGGAATGACTGGTTCTGGATTCCCTTGTTCCATATTTTGCCGTTTTTCCTTTTCATTTGCATCTTTTGCTTGGTTGGAGGTGCCATCAAATGGTTGCAAAACTTCTGGTGTCTCAGGATCTTCCTTAAGTTCTATACCCTTGAGAGTCCATTCTAGAACATTGTTCTGGCCTAAATGCGATGTAGGGCCTACTTTAATGTAGAACGGTTTGCTGCTAAGCATGTCTTGAATAGCCTCGAATGCATTGTGGTCATCCTGCATTGTATTTATCATCATGGCAAGTATTAGTATTAGATCAAAATTTGTAAACATTATAATATATATCTTTGACCGTGTATTACACTAATATTATCTAATTAGATGACTATATTTCTTTTCTGCTTTTTTTTTTACCTTTCTTTTTTATTTATAAATCTTTCTAGGCGGGACTGATTAGCAACATTACTCAACAATTCATTGTCAATTGAGGCATGGCATTTTCACTGTTGACAATTTTACTAATAATGGTTTTTTTGTGTTCTTGGTTTCTAAGGCATAAGATAAGAGTGCTTGACTTTTTCAAGTCTACTGGACCTTTAAACATCTCATGGGTGATTGTCTATTGGAAAATCTATATTCTAGATTTATCTTAAGCTTATCTAATCTTATTAATTTTCTTACTTATAATTTTAATTTTATGAAGTAAGAACTTTCAAGTACTCTTTGGAAATTTACATGGCATATATAAACTGTTTCAAAAATTAGAAGGTAGGTACATGGTAATTGTAATTTACCGCTTCTTTTATGGCATAAATTTCAGCTGCACTTCTCCTAAACAGTCTTTCTGTGTCATCGTTGAAAGTGGTGAATGCCATAGTTCCTGTGCCATCGCTAGCCTCAAACTTAAAGGTTGTCCTGGCATGAATTCACAGGAATTTTTGTTAGGTACAATATTAACAGATAAGGTTGGTGTTTAAAAAGAGCTAGTGTTATACCTCTCAGTGCATATGCATTCTTTCTTATAACAAGAAGTGCAAGAATAACGCTTCTGCAATGGAAGGTTGGTTCGTTTCCAGCAGTTTGAATGGTTACCTCTATCCATAGAAGTTCTTCCTGTATGGTGTTGCTTGGCTACAAATGTATTATAATTCACAAAATATCAGTTAGAGCATGCACACTTAATTTTTAGTGAGTTGTAAACCTTGGAAGAGGTTGTAATGAATTATATTTCACCTTTTTCCGTCTCAGTTCAGCAATGGAAACAATTTTTTTATTTTCACCTGGGTACTTAACCTCTAATACTCTAGTTTGCCTATCTAATATCTTCTGGTGGAAGAGGTTAGCCCTGCACATTGTTCATTATAGAGATGATCAGCATACTGTAATTGTTGTTGTTTTTGCTAGGCTAAGTTTTGGTGATTACCAGTCAAACAGCTCACGTGCTCGATCCCCTTCAGGTTTATAGATTATTCGAGTAGACATACCAGAATTCATTGAAAAACCTAAATAAAACAGATAGTGTTAATTTTGTCATAGTAAAAAATCACCCAGGATCTAAAGTACAATAGTTTTTGTCTTACCACGTCGAGTATATGGTTTAAGAGCCCTAAAACCTATAACCTGGAATGCTTCTGCCCAATTAGGTAATTTGTCGAAGAATTTGGGTGCTGTTAGATCATTCCACAATGAGATGGTGAGCGGTTGATCGCAACTGTTACATGAAATACTTATTGTTAGTGATTTCAAATTGTAATATATATCAAATATTATTTTTACTAATCCTGAACATTTAGGTGATCTGATTTTAACCTTTCATCAGTAACGACTATTTCTCGTACGAAGCTCTCTCGCTTTCCATCTCTGGCTTCAATTTTCCTTGGCTCTTCTTCAACATATAACACCACACCCACGATATCTGTGAATTCAGATAAGTTTGTTAGTGTTTTTTAATTGTATTTTTATGTGAAACTGTTATGTGAGTGCAATATACCGTATTTCTCATCAGGATCAACTGTACGAGGTATACTTGCAATGGGTTGATAGTTAGGCAGAATTGGTCCAAGCTCTGGATGAACTGGCTGGATCACAGTTCTACTACCAAAAGCCATTTGGTACGGAAACTGATCAAGTTCAGTTCTCCATTTTTCGTCAATGAATTTAATAGGTGCAGCAGAAATGTCGTATTCACCTAGGTACTGTAATGCTTCTTCAAATGCTTCAATTTGATCGCCAAATAAAGTACCACACATCCTATTACCCTATAAAGCAGAAAGTGATAGTGAAACAAGGTGAGCTTAATAACTACATTATAAGGTCCTTAAACTTATTAATTATATATAATTTGCTATTATATATGTAGAATAAGGCATCTTTTGTTTGAGATATAATTAAAGTGCCACAGAATATGTGCTTTATTTAACATTATTTTGGCTAAAACAAAGTGATTTTAACATTGATGTAGTTTATATTATAGAAGTATGAAAAGGTCACACAAAAGATCTATGTATAATAAGCTTTGTAGAATAGCATACTTATAAGATGTTTTAGATTTTATTGTAAAATAAATCTATATACATTATATTTCACTTGAATCCTGAACATTCAGACATAATTAGGGCTGCATTATATTCTAGCTTTATGTGTACTATATTTAACTAAATCTTAATCTGACCAAGATTATAACATAAGTAAAAGTACGATTATAGCATAAGCATGATTATTTCAAGAGTAGTTAATGTAATTTTTGTACTGTCTACCATAACTCTTTAATCCTACCCTAATGCTTGATATGATTTAGATTACAGTTAGGAATATTCTTTTTGTTGCATCATAATTGTAATAAAGCTAGTGTGATATTTACATGTATAAAGTAATAAATGCATACCTTTTCATCCCTTAGAAGTAAAGTTTGGAATCTAACTGTTTTTTTGGAAGATAGTGTGTCCCTTCCTTTTTCAGCAACAACTACTCTTACTATATAAGTCTTGCTTTCTGCATTTAACTGATCCAAGTACACATACTCTGGCTTCTGTCTAGCTGTTTTGTATTTTTGATCTGTGTATACAAATGTTTTTCTTGTTATTTTGTATAGAAGTAGTTTTAGATGATAATGTAAGATGCTAGAACATTTAATATTAAATATTATTTAATCAAGCATACAATCAGGAATTTATATAGGAAAAACATTAACAATAATTGAGCTAAAGGATAATGGAAGCAGTGTGTAAAAGAAGGGACCATACCTGCCATGGCTGAGTAAGTCACTGTTATTGTGTTTGATTTCTTCTGTGAAAAAAACGAAATGCCAAAGATGAAACACTTTTTATATGAGTTAGTACAAATTTTAAAAATAGGAAATAGCTAGAATACAGTAATTGGGGAAGGTTCTGGTAATAGTGTTTAGAATAACTATGGTAATTTTTTTCTTTCTTCTTACTGTTTGCACTGTTCATTCCATACTTTAGGTAAAGAATTCCAGCTGCTCATTGTACTTTTATATTACTTTTTAAAGATTGCAAAAGTTTATTGTTTTTATAAGTAATAAAGTAATAATATCTTGATTTTATATAATAGATAACCGTAGCCTAGAAAAATGTTGGAGTACAATTTTCCTTTTTTTAAGGGATTGGCTTATACAATAAGTCATAATCAAATTAGACCTATATATATATATATATATATATATATATATATATATATATATATATATATATATATATATATATATATATATATATATAGAAATGTGAAATATTGTACAGCTTTTAATATTAACTTTTATTTTATGCTAGAAAGCTTAATTTAAACAGTTCACCTTAGTAGGCTGTAATTTAAGCGTATATGGTTTTTTATCTCTTTGTTGTCACATGAATACTGATATTTGTCATCAACCTATATAATATAACAATTCATATACTCACTAAACATGATCGAACAAATCATAAAAATACTTAAAATCAATGCATAATCAACTTTTATCTACATGAGATAAGAAATTATGATACCTCTCCTTTAATGTTTGGTTCTGCAGGGCTTGTCAACAGAACAGCCTCAGGACAAAACATATCATGCTTTGTTACTTAAATTTCTTCTAATTAATTTGGTTTGCCGTGAAACCTGTCCAAAGAAATCAGTTTCTTTATACCACTGTTTATTGAGCTTGAATGTGATCCTAGTTTCACCCAAGCTGAAGCCCGGTCAATCTTTCATATGCTCATAGATTGCATAGGTATATGACCTGGATGAGCCACGCAGCATTATAGACCTAAAAGTTTAACGATTATTGGTTTAAATTACATTATTAACATGACAACTAATTCAAGAGAGAGGGGTACTAATATATAAAGGAGGAAGTGTACTCTATAAAAAGTAGAAGTTTATATAATATGGTGAAGATTAAAGCAACTACCTTTTATCAGTATTCAATGGGAATAACTTGCCCTTGAGTGAAGGATCCCACTGTCTACAAAAGAAAACTTCCACCTGATCATCATCTGACATAATCACCTGAAAAGTTGTTGCTTTAATCTTGCATACAGTTAGCAAATAGCCTTAGTCAAATCTGTAAAACAAAGCCTAAAATTTACAAGTTTATCCATTTAATTTTGGTAAACTAAGAAAGAAAAAGGCGAGAGGAACAAACATGTCAAATGTCCCTGGTGTATTAGCATCATTCCAAACAAGATCCCAATACATGCATACATAACACAGTTAAATATATCATTAAACAAGCGGAAAAAATAAAAAACTCCACATGTGATGATCAACTTTTCTTTCATTATCTTGAATTTTGTTTCTAGATTGTATATAGAGACTGATTGAAGTATTGATTTCATTAAGTAAAATGACTGTACAAATCTGATTATATAGAATGTTTACCCTCTATTGTCCTCAAGATTTCGAGATTCAAGCAAATTGTCAATGCCATTATAAGCTAGTCCAGTAACAATTTCTCGTGGTTTAGATATTGTCACTCGAGCAATGCCATTGTCTAATAATACCTGCAAGTAAATACTCCAGTTTAAAATCCATGCAGAAATATAAACTCTTAGAGAACTAAGGTTGAATATATAATACTCCATGTCAATATGTCATTGAATTCATTGAATAAATTCAAATATATGAATCCATAGATTTACGAACTTGTAGACCACATGATGCTATCAGCATCACATTTCTTAAGGGCTTCAATGGTTCCAGAGCTCAGAAATCTGAAAAAATATATACTCTCTTCTTTTGTTCAGCTCTTCAAACTATTACAGCAACCTACAAGCAAACATACCAGTACTATGAATAAGCACACCATCGATCACTCTACCCAAGCATTACAGTACAAGTTCAGTAGGTCTAAAATAAATTCAATAGATTTAAACTTTTAGATTCTACCTAAGCTACCTGTTGAATTTGAATTCATAATTGTCCTTTATCCGCTTGATGCAATGAGCTGCAATTGCTGCCTTAGTATTAAACTGAAAGAGTGAGACCAGAGTTCCAACTAATCAAAACCAGATATTTTAGTTGAAAGCCATATGACCATTAATTGTATAAAAATAGAAATAAAGCACCAGCTAACAATTAAAATAGCATTATGAATTAACTTATTCAGGAATAAAAAAATGAAAAATAAATAAAAAGAAAGAAAGAATGATCATGAATAAAAATGATGTATTAAGGGAATAAGAGCAATGACCTTTGAAAAATCACTAAAACCACTGACCTGCTTATGTCGTTTGCTGATTGACGTTGATCCATGAAGCCTAACAATAAGGGTATCTTCTTGCATGACAAAATAGAGCAAAAGAAATAAAGGGTTTGAAATCACATTAGATCTTCAGTTAAATAAATAAATCAGAAACAACCATTAATTATTCTAATTGCTCTTACAACCAATAATGTTAAATAGTGAAGCAAACATAGTTTAATTTCAACCATCAATCATTCTAATTGCTCTAAACAATACCAGCTATAATCAAAGGAGAATTATTATTAAAAGTATCGTGTCCACTATAAGTGTATGCTACATCAAAACATGTAAGGCGAAAGCTTGACAGAAAACCAATTTATGCATGGTTTGCCTGATGATCAAGAAACAATTAACAAGATGCTTATACATTTCGTTTCTAAACCCAGAGTCTGATGTTTTAGTTATCACAAAACCATGCCAGCAAAATTGCTGTGGAGGAATCTTCTGAACTGTTGAAGGACTTGAAATCAAAATATATGGCGTTAATATTTAGTACATCTGAAGACCTGTAATTGAATATTCAGCAATAAATCCTGAGTCAGGTTTTTTCTGCCAGTAGACATGTAATAAAGTCCAGACAGATTTTCTGTTCACTCCTTCCTTGTGATGTCAAAGCCGGAAAACCCAATAGCAATTTACTCAAAATTAAACACTTATTACTCTCCAAATAACAACTCATATAATACAAAACACCTATTTTAAAACAAGTTATGATCTAGAGTAATAAATTAACTGTCTACATTTACTAAAAGTAATCTTTTCTCATACGCTATAGAATAAAGCCCATAAAAGAATTCATTGAAAAAAATCACATGTATTAAAGTTCAGAATGCATAATTAGAATCAATTAGCATATTAATTTATTACAGTAGTCATAAAGCCCTGTTAAAACAATCACACACACACATAATATACAGTCTCAATCTAAAGCAAGAAAGATATGACCCACAATCACTAACCAACCATTATTGTCATTAAATATCACCCATAGTTAATGCCATATATGAATTAGTATATTCACATTCAAATGGATTGCAGCAAAATAGAGTATATTATATGAAGCAAATAGGGGAAAGAAAAGGCATACATGGAATTCAACATTGGACCACTGCTGAAGTGAATGCACATGACTTAGCTTATTTTAGGAATGATCTAACAGCACCTAGATTACTCCTGCAAAATAAGAGAAAAACACGAAAATTAGGACTGCCATTATATATTTCGAAAAATCAACTTAGTAAGCTTAGTCAATGTATAATCACCTAAATTACTCCTGCTAGCTTTAGGACAGCATAAGATACGACATTTTTAACGGAGTTTTCTGAATGCTGTAAAGTAGGAGCCACTGATACAACTCTCACTTTATCTGCAGACCGTGCACGTGAAAGAGCCACATATAACTGACCATGTGAAAAACACGAACGAGGGAGATATATTAACACTTGATCTAAAGTTTGCCCCTGTGACTTGTTTATAGTCATTGCAAAGCTGAGCTTGATAGGAAACTGGTTCCTCTGAAATTGGAAAGGATATTTCTGAGAACTTGATGGTCTGAGTTTAATTCTGGGTATAAATACATGTTCCCCTTGATACTGTCCGATAGAAATCACGCACTCAATTAAATTAGGGAAAAACCTTTTACATATAAGGCGCGTTCCATTGCATAAACCAGAAGATGGCAGAAGATTTCTAAGCAATATTACTGGGCAGTTTTCTTTGAGCACAAGATTGTGAGGGCTCATTCCACCTGCACATAGTTTATTCAGGAATTCTGTAGGATATACGCTGCCACTATCATCTAGGACACTGTCATAGCTTGTATAAGATATGGCTTGTCCTGGGAATCTCTCAATCATGAACGAATTTATAGTATCTACATCGTCATTTATAGGTGTTAGAACTGCCCTTCTTGAAAAGATTTGAGGGTCCAGAGCACCCGAACCAAGTTCTGGAAAAGAAGATTTGAGTAACTCATCTATTGGATCAGCATCAGGCTGGAAAGTCTGCACTATCTGTGGTGGCAACTCAAAAAAATCACTTTCCATGGTCTGCAGTTCACCGTTTCCCAGTGCAAGTAAAAACTGAGAAAATGAAGGATCTTCCCTAGCTCTTAGATTTTCAGTTAACCTGAATCTCCGCAAATGCTGCCATATATAAGAACTCACTATACTTGCTTCTACTGCTTCTCTAATAGTCTTGTTAGGAACAACAGGCAACACTTGTCGAAAGTCTCCACTGAAGACAATTACCTTCCCATCAAATATCACATCACTATCACATATGTCTTGTAATAAAAGGTCTAGAGATTCTAGATTTTGCTTGTTTTCCATAGATTCTTCATCCCATATTATAAGAGTTGTTTCTTTTATTAACGCTGCCAGGCTACTTTGCTTAGAAACACTGCAAGCTAATGAAGCATCACTGTCCAATGGAATTTTGAATCTTGAGTGTGCTGTTCTACCTGATGGAATATTTGCTGCAGCTATTCCAGACGTAGCAGTAGGTAAAACAATCTTATTCATAAGGCGGATCTCAGCATATAGTGCATTATATAAGAACGTTTTACCAGTTCCACCAGGACCATCTACGAAAAATGCCCCTGGTTTTCCTTCTACGATATGCTACATAATACAAGTAAAAATTTCCTTTTATGCGGTATTAAGCAAGCCACGACTTTCTATACAATTTTGAGGAATCGGAGCATCTAAGGCATCTTGAATGTCTTTTGTTCTATCAATCTGGTTATCATTGTCTTCCATTAAAACAGCCAGACCACAAGCAGATAATGACTTGCCCATGGCCTCTAAATGCTGCTCTACTGATCTGACAGTTAATCTTTTAACTTTGTTTTCAACACCAGGGTATTGGCGTGCAAAATCTTCTGATAATGCAGAATAATATTTAAACCATAATTCTTCAGGGTTACTCGGCTGACAAAATATAAGAACAGTTGCAAATAGCCGGCGTAAAGCCCGAGGGAGCTGAATTTCAGTTGCTTCTGCCAAACAAATGCTTGCAGCATCGTCCTCTTCCAAAATGCCAGCTCTTAGACATGCTTCTTTGAAAGTTGCACACACATAACCTTCAATTGTGCGCAAGTCTGTGAAAGATTTTGGACTTTTGACATTCAGTAATAGAAGCCGAAGGTAAAAGCGTTCACCCTCCGAAGGAGCGACAAAAGTTAATCGCCCTATCATCACTTTTTTATTTTGCCGTTTGGACCATGATTTTGATGAAGCATCCCACTTATAGTGTTCAGGAAATTCTACATATGAGTAACCAAGACCATTATCAGTAGTTGCATTCATACGGAAGAACTCAATTAATTGAGTCCTACCATAAACACCGCTTGCAATACCAACATCCAGACGTTCATAAGGGCGTACACAAACTGTGTTCATGTCTGGAATATGAACTGACAAAGGTAAGACTGGTGGATGCATCTCAAATAAATCAAATCCAAAAATTCTCCAAGCTGCCTCACATGGCGACACCCACCTCCTCGACTGAAACTGAGCAATTTCATCGTTACAATTTTTATCTTCAGCCAGAATATTGAAGGCCACTCGATCGTGTCCCTTGTAAACATACTTATATAAATATTTCACTGCTTTAATAGTTGAACAAACTTCTACGTTCAAATGACAATCAAAGAGTGCTGTGAGATAGGGGTTATAAGGGACAACCCATCGGTTATCTAACTGAGCATTTCTGACTTTCAATTGTTCTCCAGTATCAGTTCTCTTATAGCAAGGATAGCCATCTTTATTTGTTGTTGTTTGTGCGGTGAATTGTTTTGGGTACCCATTTTTACAAGAAACAACATTATCCTTCTTTCTCATACAAGGACACTCTGGATTTAAGTGGCCACATGGTCCATGCATCATATGCCTTAACACAATTTTACGCAGCTCAGGCTGAGTAACAGGAGATATTTCTGCACAGACATATTTATCATAATCAGCAGGACACTTCATCTTATGATGTTGCTCTAGAATCAATAGGAAATGAGCATGTGGCAATCCTCTTTTCTGAAATTCTATGACATATATCATTGCTGCCACTTTACCAAATACTTCATCTTTTTTTATTTTGTTTTTCAGAGCAATCAACTTTGCTCGAAATATACGAGCAACTAATTCTGGCCGGTCTTGTGCGGTCTCACCAGGCTCTAGCTCAGCTTTTATCTCTGGCCAATTTGCATTGCAGGTCATAGTGACAAAGAGATCAGGTTTCCCGTATTTCTGCACAAGAGCCATTGCATTCAAATATCTCCTTTTCATATCACGAGGGCCTCCTATAAATGATGGTGGCAAAATGAACTTATGACCAACATTAGCTGCACTTGTCTGGCCACTCTCTACAGTGTCTAGAATCCCTTTATAAAGATCCGCTCTTATTGTATCTTAATTTTGCCGAAAAAAATCTAACCTTGTGTTTTCAACTTTGATATACATGTCTGTGATATACTGCAAAAATGCACGGCCTGCTCTTAACAGCATGTTTCCTGGTCTAATTTGAAGCTTATAGCAATAGTATTCCCTTGCAGAGATATTCTTATCAGCTTTGGTATGTTTTCCAGAAGCTCCTACAAACATTAAAGTCCAGAGAAAATTCAAATTAAGCATACGATAAGGAAACACAAGAATAGAAACAGCTTTAAAAAGAATACCATTATTCTTTTAAGAACTTACGAGCAGCCTCTGCATCTAGAAAATCTGCCGGAGTGTGCACTGTGCAGGACTGTATCGGATCAGGTTCGGTTGCCACTTGTCTGTCTCCACCATAAGAAGTTTTCTTTAAACCCTGATGCCAACCACATTCACCTCTTGGGAATAGCAAGGGATACTGCAAAGGATCATAGCACCCATAAAAATGAGCAATCCGATGAGATTTTGAAGACTTTGCTGTTACAAGAACATGTGGCCATGAACTCTGACTTGACGAAACACTATCAGGCCAGATAACAGCAACTTCATCTGAAGTGGGAGAATTATATACTCTTTGATCCGGTACAGTGTTTGAATTTATTATAATGTTAGTACGCTCATCAACATTTACTTCTTTCAAAGAGCGGAAAAATCTTGCATATGGATTATCTTTAGTTATTTGCATTAATTTGTCAATAACATCTTGTCTTAATTCAGGAAAGCAGTCTGTTCTGTGTTTCAATTCATTTTGCCCATCATAGAAATAAAGTTGCAGATACTTTGGACCATTCTCATCTGGTAATAAGTCTGGTACAGAATGATATATTTGGCCATGCAGTTTAAAGACATATATACCTTTGTATGTTTCTCTATTAGTTTTACCTCCAATTGAACTAAAAGCAAATAAGTTATTGTATAATCGTGCATATTTTCTAAAATGGAGAGCATCTTCATCTCTTGAAGTAAAAAGCCTCATTAATTCAGGGGGATATTCATTTTGAGTTATTTTAATATCACCATTGCCACAGCAAAAATGTAGAGTTTCAAACTCAAACTTCTTAGCTCCACACTTATCACAGTAAGTAGGTGGAGATAATTCTAGGGGATGCCTAGGTAATGGTTTTCCTATAGTTGCCGCAGGGGTTTCTGTAATAGCATTAAAGGATATTTGAGATAATTTGATTGTGCAACTGTGTATGTGTGCTAAATAGATAAACTGAAATTACTACTAAACCTTATATATATTCACTTTGGTAACTCAATGTAAGGCAAAGGACCCACTTTCAAGTACAATATATTTCGAAGGTCTTGATTAGGCTTTTTCGATTTTGGTTGTTCTGCTTGACTGTACAAAGAATAAAGAACCTATGAATTTAGTTCACCAAAATAATAATTTTATTATTTTAAATCATCTATTTTACCTAGTAGAATTATGAGTTGATACCAAAGCACTCATTCGCTTTGATTTTCGACCTTGAAATAATGGTCTCTTAAAATTAATAGGTGCACCAGCTATCATATAAACAATTAAAACAATAACTCAGCAACTCGAACATAAAATAAATATCATAAATGAAGATAGCAATGCGCATATAAATTGAAAAACTTATCATAAGCATCATGCAAAATTTTCAGATATACCCATATTACTTTGCTGTAGACCAAGTCATGTCAACCATTTGCATGCACATCTCAACAATTTGCACAAGTTATTAATGATCCCAGTTTATGTCATTAACTGTAAAAAGAACATATATAGAAATACTCAGAAGGTGCAGTTAGCAAGATGTTTTTTTAATAAAAAACAAGGAGCAATTTAAAAGGCTCTGCAATTTAAATCCTCACAAATTTGATCAATCTAATACACTAACTTGCATATCTCCTTCAACTCAAGCAATTACCTGTTCCAATATTTGCTCTGCGTAAACTTCTGTGATTAAAGCCAATAACAATAATTCCTGAATTTTACACTGATCTCGAGTTGAAATTGCAATATCCCCCTGTTTTCACTGCCACAAAACAAAATAAATGAATTCTACTAATCTACTACATTATTTTGTACCTTAGTAAGAGCATGTGCATATCATTAACAATACTTGCTTTGTATTATTTTATAAAGCCATTGAAGCTTGTCATTACCTCATCTTGTTACTTCCTCTAACTCTAATCCTACTTTAAAGATTTCCTTTTCTCCCTATTCCCTCACATGCTTATATACATACATGAACTAAGTTATACAATCGAAATTTGAATATCAGTATACATACATAGCTACCATTTACTGCAAACAGAAAAGCTAATGCATAATTAAAACCCGTATTTACATTTTCCATGTAGCTTCAAAAAATAAAATACTGAACATATTTAACACCAAACATGAAAGAGCATTGTCAAATTAAGAAGACATACAATTAACAATAAAATTAATCAAAGAGCAATATTAAATTAAGAAGTCATGAGAACTACAATAAAAAGTTAATCCATTCATTACTCAAGATACACATTACATTATATTTCAATTACAGCCTTCAAGTCTGTTTTCTAATGAAAAATTTCAGCCATTACTACTCATAGACCTAGGCTCTAAGACAAAAGGAAAGATAATAAGCATATATCAATGCTAAATCTAAACACCTATATCCAGGCATACAACTTTCTACCCAAAATACTAATGTAAGTCTCCATATAGGCTAAACAAACTTTGCCCGCTTCCATACAGTCTCTAATTCAGGTATGCCAGAAACCAAAGGTTCAGCAACTCTAACAGTAGAAGAAGATGCTGCATCTAATGCTGTAACCGAACGTCTTTTAACTGGAGCAGCTGGAGGCAAACCAATCTTAGGGATCTGAAACCTCTCAGAAGTAGGAGTCAAGCATTCATCAGTAGCAAAGTTTTCCTCTCTGGCAGCCAAATGCTCCTTTAATTGGTAAAACCTTCTCTTTAGAGCACTGCAAGCAACATGCTTCTCCGAAATTGCACCATAATTAGCATCAATGATCTCTAGATTATACTTAGTCACCAAGTAATGAATAGTTCTTTTGGCAACCTTTTGCCTCGCATCAGCTAACTCAGGACAAGCATCACTATATATGCATTCCATTTCACCTCCATTATGTGGGCAAGACACTGTTAGCCAAGACACAAAGCCCAAATTTTCAACCCAAATAGTCTCTAATGGACTCACCTCTGCTCCAGTCCTTGTAACAACAGCTCCTAAAAAGCCTACAAAGTCAATCGTCACATGAACAACATCACCAGATGGTTTTTTGCCCAAAATCTTCTGTGCACCAGGCATCACTATCCCTTTTTCACTACATAACTCAACCACCTTATGCTTAAAAAGCTTACTGCATAGCTGATACATCCTTGCTCTATCGGATGTAAAATCATTCACCCGCACCCCAAACTGGTTCATCAATTTCTGCACAGCTTTTTGAGCTGCTCTTTCTTGGGACTCCTCAACTGTGTTAGCTTCCCCACTGAAAAATACAAATTCAGACTTCCCACATTCAGTCTTAATACGAACACAAGCATTATTCCTATCCCTATCTATGAAACCATAAACCGGTTTAGGAAAATTTAAACAATCAATCAATTGACCTAAAAGAGGTCGAAATGGAATGGCAATTTTGCTTGACTGAATAGCCATAACCTGTAACCGGGAAAAAAAAAATTAACATATACATCCTCTAAACTTAAACTACAATCAAAGTGCAACAACTAAGGTAACATATGTAAGAAAACCAAGCCACCTTATAATATTCCAAGTTAAATCACTAACAATAAACTTACCATCAGTAGCTGCAATTAATTTTACCAGCACAGCCAGCTCCAAGTGCATACACCTACAATTATTATTTTTTTTCCCTTTTTTTTATCCAAAAAAAAGAAAGAAGAAAAACAAAAAACACAAGGGCAAAAAAAATTAAGCTATGTAACCAAATTGAATGCTTCAGAAATAACACAAATGCATAAACAACTAATTTCAAGTAATTGTTCTAATTTACTTTCCTATAAAAAATGTATAACTGTAAATTCAAATATTGTACATTAATGTATGTCCAGGAAATTATGGTGTATAAAAGTTCAAGATTCATTAAGTCAATATCCAATGTTGTCTGTACAAATGAGATCCATAAGGAATTAAACCCATGATATTATATTTTTATCAAAATCTAATTAACCAATTACCCCAGCAAAGTTTCACATACAAACCTTTTCTTTCAGACAGAAGATAAAGAAGAAGCAAGTCAGAAAATTGAAACAAACCAAACATGCAGAACACATATATAATAAAGAATAAAGCAAAGAACATATCCCATATATTTTATTAGCCAAAAAAACCAGACCATATAAATTGTTCTAGTACATCATAAAAAAATATCTTCTCCTCAAAAATTATTAAATAATACATTGCAACCAAAAAAGACATCTGAAATATACTCTAGTTTATTTTTAGCATTATTTATAGTAAAAAAAAAAAAGGTATTTTTATCTCTTCAGAAAAAAAGGAAGTTAGTACACACTAAAACCCCTCTATAAATTTTTAAATACACATAGATACACATTACAACACCAAACTCTCCAAAAGCAATTTCCCCTATCACTGTAGTTTCTGAAGCTAAGTTTATATTTAAATAATAAACTAATAAGACAAATTTACAAGAGATATCACTGTATTTCGTTCATAATCTCTTTATAAAATCCTTAAACAAAATTTATAAGAGAAATTAATTTTTATTACACAATGCTAATTCTAATTTTATTTAAATTAGCTAACTCATGTTTTTAATCAATGAGATACTACAGGTAAATTGAAATGGTACTAATTCTATAATTAGATTTGCTTAAAAACACTTCTCACGTCTTTATTTTATAATTGATATTTTGATTTTGAATTGATATTTTGATTTTGATTTAACAAATTTCCTACTGACAAATACTCAAGAGGAGAATACCTTATAGCACAAAACAACCAGATCCAAACAAATACCACCACCAGGTCCTTCAAATTGGGCATATACACCACCATCAGCTCCGCAAATTCGCGCAACAACACCACCATTAACTCTTCGAAATCGCGCAACTACACCACCACCAACTCCTTGAAATTCCGTCATTGACACAGCCGCTGCAACACCCACACACAATCAAAAATCAACAATTAATTTACTAAGAAAGAAAAAGGAAAAACGAAAAAGAAATACCCTAGCCATATAAAAACAAACGAAAGGAAGAAAGACATAGCTAATGGGAAAAGAAAGCAGGAAAGAAAGAAAGAGAGTAAGCTGCAGAACACCGACAAAGAAAGAGGAATTGCCACGCGTCAGCCCACTGAGACCACATGCAATGTCAAAGCAAAAAGACCGAAATAGCCCGGTCAACTTGGTCAACCAGAGAAGGGTGCTAAGGGGCAGGAACGGCAAAACCGTCAATTTCCTGTTCATAAGGAACAGTAAAATTGCTACAGTCTTGGTGCTTGGGGCTTTTATAAAAAATGAAGGTTGAAAGAAATGGCTAGAATTTTATAGAGTTCTCTTCATCATTCTTTAATTCCAGTCATAATATTCTATCACAAATCATACAAGTATTTTTTAGTTGCTTTGAATTTCAAAAGTTCTCTAAATCATTTAAATGGCTTACATCATACAAGTTAATAGAAAAATCTAGAGAAACGATGAGTTATACTTTTTTTTGACGGGAAAATGATGAGTTGTACTAACCATGCAAGATGTGTTTAGAAAAATTTAGAACACACATAAATACTTAACCAAAAGAATGGGCCTATACAATTGGGTCACCCCCAACCATAAGCTTTGGACGATGGAGTAATATATATAGGACTAAAGATGAATCAAATTTATGCATGCATTTCCAAGCTAAATGTCGTTTTCATTATTTGTGATTTAGTTTTGACCATAGATTACCTTAATACATCAGTGAAAACATCCATAAAGAAATAATACATACTATCACAACATTGTTATCTATATGGTATTAAAAACATTCATAAAGAAATAATTCTCTTTCGACAATTTAAAATTTTTTTTTTTTTTAAAACAAAGACCGTATGCGACAATTTGGTAAAAAAAGAGGGTGCCCTATTTTGTCATGGTGAGAAACAAAGTTGTTTCTTCTCACATGGCATATTTGTAAATAAATCAACAACTTTATTCAATTGTGGAGCCCACAATAATGAAAAAGTTGTTGATTTATTCACGAAAATATCACTATGAGAAACAAATTTCGTTTCTTACCATGAGAAACAGGGATTTTCCCATAAAAAAATACATTTAGACAATATCTAGACCAAAAAATAAGGACTATCCCACATTAAATCGACAATAAGTATCTTTCTTTTCAAATATTGCTGCTTGAAACAAAGTCCGACTCTTTTGGATACGCAATGCCCCCTTCTGAAGGTCTTACGACGGCTACTTTTATTGAAGAACTCGCGATGCTAGGGGTTCGTAGTAATTAAGTTACAGCCCATGGGACCCAATCAACTTAGTTAGGCCAAAGGTAATACCCATTGCAAACCAACCACCCAACAAAACCCTCAAAGAAGCCCTTAAAATAGGAGCTTTTCCTAGATACGCCCCTAACCACCCAAATACCACCAAAGCCACCGTAACAGCCGCCGGCACAACCCCGAGCCTCACCTTATGATTCTTTACACTCAATGCCGCCAGAAGCGGCACCACGGCCCCCACAGCAACGGCTAGGGCAGAAGCAAACGCCGCTTGTATAGGGCTTGGCAAGCTCTCCTCCTCCTCCTCATCCTTCTCCTTCTTCTCTCTTTTCCTTTGAGCTAGCTCGATGTCTACTTGCGAGTAGACCGACACGTACTCTCCGATGGCCATGCTGCAAGCAGCGGCAACAAGGCCGGCGAAACCAGTGAGTATCATGGCCTTAACATCTTGCTTCACTGCACCTACACCCATCATTAGAGAGGCTGTAGTAATAAGCCCATCATTAGCCCCTAGGACCGCAGCACGTAGCCACTGAGCTCGTTTCGTGTAGTCTAAGTCGTCGTTTTCCCCCTTGTCAGCGCGTTTTTGACCTTGATTGTTGTCTTCATACACGCTGTTTGCTCGAATTGTTTCTAGTTCAACGGTGTTACGATGCACGGTTTGTCCAGGCTCCATTTGTAAGGAAGAAAAATAAGTGATTGTTTTGTTATTAGATAAGTTTGAAAATTGTAGGTTTTGAAGAGTTGAAAGGTAATAGTGAATGTGCTTTGTAAATGGCTAAAACCATGTTATTTATACTTGTAGGTTGATAATTTGATAATATATAAACTACGTAAGTGGGTGGTTATTGAGTTGTCCACTAAGATAACTAATTGCATGGAAAATGCTTCTGAATAACGTAAATGGAAAAGTAATGAAATTTGGTTTCTCCTTTTGACACTTTGTTTTATGCTTAGCTTTTCACTTAATCATGCAAATTGAGGTTTTTAAGTTATAGTCTTATAGAATTGATTGAAAATTCATCCGAAATTATTTAGCAACAATAAATTATGATCTCCTCAAACATATAATGATATAGTTGGTTTAACAATTTCTCTTTTTTTCACTTAGTATAAGTCATAGGCGCACATACTGCACAACATGTATTTTATACTCGCTCTCTCTGATCCCAAGGCCACCCTCTCAAATCAAATGTGAGGTCATTATATTTAGGGGTTGGACATCATGTTGAGGTAAATTACTATCGTCTACCATAATTGCTTATGTTAAGGTTAGATTTTAAGGGGGGGAAAAACATTAACATTGGTTCTACTATCATACTTCCTCCGCTTTTATTTACTTGAAACACACCCCTTTGACACGCATGTTAAGTAAGATATTAGACTAGGTAAACGGATAAATTAATTTACAAAATTTTAACACTTATAAGAAGAAATGGATAAGTTGCTACAGTTTAAATTTCTTAGCTAATTCATTCGTTTACCTAGTTTAATCACCTCATCGATAAGCGTGATAAAAGATGTGTTGCAAACATAAAAATAAAAAAATAAAATAAAATAAAATAAAATAAAAACTGAGGAAGTATTATATATATATTTTGAATAATATTGAAAATGGGCTTGGAATATCCAAAAACAAGGGGAAGAGTTAAATGGACCACACACTTACAAGTTACAAGCTTATAAGTAGTTACACCCCTATAACCAATTCATGCAATGAAGGGAGTTACGTAGCTTCTTACAGAACCATCTAAATGGTTTATATCTAATCTGATCTCTCATTGTATCCGACGTGAAACAAATCACATTTGTGAACATGGGATTTCAGCAAAGGTATTATATTTCTTCCTCTCAAGGAAAACCATAATTGCACTTATTATTACAAATAATCTATTTATTTGCTTAAAACCTCCTTCATTGTTTAAACAATGGTATTTGTTTGACAACTCATGGCTAAGAATTAACTTTATGTGTTTCAATGGATTCTTAGTATTCAAATTCCTTAATTAATTAGCTAGAAGATTTAAGGTGAAATAATACGAGTAAGATATACAACTAATAACAATGCACATGTTGAGAGTATATATTGGTGATTGAATGAGCTGAGAGGAAGACTAGAACGTCTTTTGATTTATATGTAATCCGACTCTACTCCGAGAAAGCCTTAAATTGACTCTAAAAAAGTTATCAATTTCATACATAACACAAACTTGAAATGGATTTCTAAATCGAATAACAATTTCTAAATCGAATAACAACCGTATAACTAATGTCCAACTTGAAACATGTATTAGTAAGCATGATGTAAGCTAAGTAATCCCACTTTTGGGTGTAAAAGATTCAACAAACCAAGGGAAGAGATACTTAAATATATCCAAGCCCTAGTAAGTTGTATTTATTCTTTTAAATTCTTTATACTCCTTTAAATTTCCACTAATAACAGAAAAAAGACATACTAGAGATGGATTGCTGAGTGTGAGAGCACCAAATTAATAGTAGGAGCCAAGTCAAATGCAACTTTTAAGCATTTTTTTATCAACTAGGAGTGTGTTATCCACACGAACACCACGAAGGTCCCCTTATTTGATTCATTTTTTGGAGTGTCCAACTTTAACTTGTACCCAACTAATTTTTGGAGTGTCCTTAATTGATATATTTCTCATGAATTATATATTCTCAAAAAATAACTAACTTACCTTGTCCACTCTTACGGGTATGACAAAATTGTACGCAACAAATTTTTGAGATTCATGTACTACTCTTTAGTCTAAAAGATATAATTAATACATTACTCTACTCAAGAGTTGGCTAATTAATTAGGTAAATTTTGCTTGTAAAAAAATTAGGTCAATTTTGGTTGACACCATAACTTTATATTGCTAAAATACAAAGTGTTTTGTTATCAATTATTTAATGAGAACTATAATGTTATAGTTATTGTCAATTAGTAATAGTGAAGGTGATTTCCATATAATTCATCTAGTTGTATTAAAAATTGATTATTTAAATATATTTCGGCACCTTATAATTTCGATTAACATATACGTCATATTTGTACTATACTAAACTCAATCAACAACTCAAGTAAGCATTATGGAAACAAAAACTTTAAATTTCATGAAACGTGAAGGTACAGATTGAATTAAACAAATGCATGGCCTTAAATATTTACTGAACCCGAAACAATATACACTGTATATTAAAGATGCAGCGATAGTGAAAAGGGGCAACTTTTTTTTTTTATCACAATCATCTACTCAAACTTTAATGATAATGAAGTTCTTAACATAATTAATGATAATTAATGAACATAAAAATATGTACTGTATATACCTAGTAACCTAGGTCAAGTTTCACCTAAGAATCTTCATTGAAATTAACATAATCCTAGCTAAAATGATAAGAAAAGGAGTTTAAAAATTAACTCTTCACCCCCATTTAAATTTTATTTATTTATTTTTTTTTTTAATAAAAGAAATTAGGTGGGTGAATACAACCAAGAATATACTCTAGATCTCTAAGGCTCTAAGTAAACAACTTGAATTTTTTTAGCCAATATTCTAATAGACATGGTGGACAACTTTTGCTAGTAAAAAGATAGAACAATGCATATTCATTTATAATTCAACAAATAAAATCTTTCTAATCTTTTTTAAACTTTAATTTATTACATTTGCAAAAAGGTTACTTGTTTTATTGGATAATGGAATTTCAACAAGGATTAGACGCACTAAAATCCTTGATTAGTGCTGCGTTTAATATTTATTATAATCAAGGGAGTGTGCCCTTCACACGACTACCACAAGATACCTCCATAAAATATTGTTGCACTATCTAACTTTGACGCAAGTATATCTTTGAATTCTAAGCAAAATTGCTAATCAACTTTCCACCCAAAAACTTGCGCATTGTTTGAAAACTCTCTTGTGTTTAACTAAAGAGCTTATCTTTTCGTTTTTAGGCCGTTGCAACATAATGGAATGCTCTATAAGTGTCTAATTTTATCTGTACCCTTTTAAACAACATCAATGACTATTGACGATGACACCAATATCAATCCCATCATAATTATAATGACGGGTCTTGAAAATATAGCTAAAATTAACATGAACAATCCAAAGTATTGAGCTTCTTCTCATTGTAATCCAATTACATTTTATGATGTGATGACACTTCTCAAAGTAGTTTCTTTTGTGTTAACTTGTTCTAAAATGTCTAAAAATTGCAAGTAATCTTGGGAGGGTCCCCACATAGTTGACATTAATTTAAGTTAAAATTTTATTGTAATTTTGATTAAGATGAAAAAAGAACTTAAATAATTGAGATTATTCTTGTTAATTTTTTCACATTTATATATTTACTTTAATCAAAATTTTAAAAAAAATCTTGTAAATTTTTTTTAATACTTTTTTGTTCTTTTTACTTGACCCGCTTTGAATTTTACACTATTCACCACTCCTCCTTTGACCGTACGTCTTTTGTGAATAATATGTAAGGAAAAACATATTTATGTTGGATTTTTTTGAATTCGTCTTAATAAGTACTATCATTATATATAACTTTTTTTTTTCTTATGGAGAATTAAAGTTATTGATCATTAAATTTTTGCATTAACAAAAGTGATAAAAGAAACAAGTTACATAAAATAGAGCAGAGAAAGTACGTATGATCTAATTTTTGTAAAAAATACTCATTAGGCCTATCAATTAAGTGGGATCAAATAGCCCCAAAATTGCCAATGTGCGTAGCCTTTACTCCTTTAGCAAGTTTTTAAATCAAGCATATGTAATAATGTACGTACTTTATACTTCCTCCATTTTTATTTAGTTGAACCTTTTTATTATCATGCTCGTCATTGCATGTTTTTAACGTTTAATATCTCTAATTATCAACATTATGAAATTATAAAAGTGGATATTAATAAATATACATCAAGACTATTCAAACAAGATCACAGATAAAGTGAGTCAAAGTATAGTGTGTAAATAGTGTAAAAGTTAAACGATGTCAGCTAAAAAACGGAGGTAGTTGCTTTGCATAATTTTAGGTCTTGGGTTTGAGACTCTTACTATACAAATCATTTAATTTTTTTTTTTTTTTTTTTGGTCGCATTACATAGAATTTTGCCTTAAGATTAGATATTAGCTAGAGCGCATGTTCCTTTGTTTTTTTTTTTTAAATATTTAAATAATGAAAAAATTCTGAAATGTTCTCATACGAAGATTGTTCCATTTGGATTAAAGCACTATATTAATTATCATGGGGGTTAATAAATTGATTTATACCGGTTTAGAAGCCTTGTGTTATACCAACTATATATGTCAAATACGATGAGTATTACTCCGTATTATTGTGTGTGAAATTTTTTTGATGGCAAGCAAGTCATGTACACGTTTTACATGGTACCATATTGTTAGCCAAATACGCTTGTATGTATACATTTAGATGAAGTGAGAGCGAGGGATAGTTCATGTGATTAGAGTTTTTTTCTCGATTTTAGGAGATTTTGGGATCGATTATCGACCCAACCCTTATGGGCCTTGTGGCTCTCTAAACAAATTAAAAACAAAAAAAAACCAAAAACTAAAAAAAAAAAAAAAAAAAAAAGATAAACCAAATTTTCATTTTCACACCATATACATAAACATCCTTTGTTTCTCAATATTTTTCACTGCATGTATTAAGAAACGGATGATGTATATATTCAATCAACAAATCTGTAATAATCAAGGTCTTCCTAAAGTAGATGATCACCTCCACAATTTTTTCCCATATCTCTTAAACGAAAACGAGGGTATCCATGCAGTTTATATTCATTTTATCCAAAAAAGAATTCCACAAGTTGTGTTTTGGGTTTTTATTTATTTTTTTCCTACCCCTTAGTTGGAAAGAAGACAAAGAATAGGTTTATAAATGAAGAATGTAATGAAAAACAACTCAAGTAGTTGCACATGAAACTGAAAGCACTTTTTAATCAAAGTTAACAAAAATAAATTTTTTACTCATTTAATTTTCCACAAATACACATTTAACAAGCTAAGCATTGATTAGGTGCTTACAAAGGTAAGTTCAACACGTGATGAAGTAGCCTAATTTTAATTTGTTACAACACCACCCAAAAAAAAAAAAAAAAAAAAAAAAACATAGATATTATTATTATTATCAACTTAATTAAATTAGAGGCCATATGTCCCCATCCACCTTGTTAAACCAAAAGTAATAGCCATAGCAAGCCAACCACCCAATAAAACCCTAATAGAAGCCCTTACAACCGGTGCTCCTCCTAGGAACGCCCCCAACCACCCAAACACGGCCAACGCCATTGTCACTGCCGCCACCACCACCCCAACCCTCACCTTATACTCTTGTATAAAGGAGGCCGCCAAAAGCGGGACCATAGCCCCTACTGAAAATGCCAAGGCCGAGGCTAATGCCGCTTGTAGAGGGTTTGGCAACCCCTCCTCATCCTTTTCCTCCTTTTGATCATCTCTTATGTTGTCTCTTTTTCTTTGAGCAACCTCGGTATCGAGTTGAGAGTACACGGACACGAACTCACCAATGGCCATGCTACAAGCCCCGGCGACTAGGCCAGCAAAACCAATGAGGATCATGGTCTTGACATCTTGTTTCACCGCACCAACTCCCATCATGAGTGATGCGGTGGAAACAAGCCCGTCATTGGCTCCTAAGACCGCCGCTCTTAGCCATTGAGCTCGTGTCGTGTAATCAAACAAGTCCTCTTCCTTCTCCACATCTTGTTGGTGTTGGCTCTCTTCATCACCCATGTGGTGGTTTCCTCGAATTGTTTCGAGCTTGATGGTGTTGGGGCGTACGGTTTGTTTGGATTCCATGTGGGCGAAAACTCGAAAAGGGTTGATTTTGCAAGGAAGAATAAGAAAGCAGGAGAGAATTTTGGCTTAGAATGAAGGTGATAGTTCTAGTGTTGTGAAAACATACTCTTTGAACTAAGCTATTTATAGAAGGAGGTTGAGGTACTTTTGTATATTTGTCTTAGCGGTTATTTTTGATAGAGTATAAAATATATTCCTGGGCCTCAACTATCAGTTTAAGCTTTTGGTTGAGATGGTCCACTGACATGGTATCAGAGCCAGCGTGACATATAGGTCACGGGTTCGAATCTCATCCACCCCCACTTTCAAGTGGAATATTAAGCGCTGGGTATGAGGAGGGCCCATGCTGCATCCACACTTCTAGCCCAAACGGGCTCTCGTGTGAAAGGGCGTGATAGAGTATAACACATATTCTTGGGTCTCAACTATCAGTTTAAGCTTTTGGTTGAGATGGTCCACTGACAATTTTCCCACTAAGATAAAATTATGTAATATTGCACATAATTGGACATTTATGTAATAATTAATTTGGGGAAAATACTGTGTTTTGCGTGGATAATGATCAAATGGATTTACTTTTTCCTAGTGGAGTGTGGCGGACACAAGCTCTTTATTAAACAATTTTTTATTTTTTATTTTTTATTTTTTATTTATTTATTTATTTATTTATTTTTATTTGTAGAGAGAGCGTAGTTAGAGAAATTTACGTTAAAAGGTTGGTTTTCCCACTAACATTAATTAGTGCAAGTGGCCAAAATTTCTTAAACAAATATATGAAAGCCGAAATCAAAATGAATCTGAACCAAACTGATCAAGTAAAATTGGATTAAGAATTCGAAATTATGAAATAAATTAAAATCTGTAAATTGAATACGATTTTGTGAAATACATGTTTTGTTGCAAATAAATGTCATGTGTATTATCTCTCCAATAACTTGATCCTTATTTATGTACATGTGATGATGCATGCATCTTGTTTCGGTTAAATATTTATGTTGTGTAATTAAGGACTCTAAATATACATGGTGTTTGGGTCCAATTTAGTCCAATTGGGCCTGGTCACTGAATGATCCAATTAAAAGCCCAAGGTTAAGGTTCAACTCTCCAAATGTGCTAAAGTCAAAAATCAACATCCTCAAAGCCATGTCAAGGTCAGTCAACGGCCCAATCAGCTTGGCCCAGCCCAACTGACTTCCGGGCCCAATCCGCCTCCTTCATTAGCCAAGGTATAAAAGCCAACAATTTGGTCAATTCTTGGCAAGACAAAAAAGCCTCAAGCAACTAAACTCTTGCACAGCTTTCTCTCTCTAATATACTGACTTAAGCATCGGAGGGGCCTTCCTCGGCGTCCCCCCCGAGGCTAGTTTACGTGTATTTGTTGTGCAGGAAACCCTCGGCTCCTGCGTCGTTCGGACCGAGACCAAGTTCCCTCAAGATAAAAGGATCTTCCGAGATTCGATTGTTTTCATCCGAAACAATTTGGCGCCGTCTGTGGGGAACGCTACTAAATTTCGCGTCAGTCATCAAACACTCCGGCAGTCGCCATGACTAAGAGTGGAAAGAGTTCCAAGAAGGCTAAGAAGGGAGGAGGCCGGATTACGGTGAGGGAACGCCAGCCGGTTTATCCCTCCCCGGAGCAAGCCTCTTCCGAATCGGAGGCCCCCATTTCTCCGGAAAGGGAAGCCTCAAGAGGTCCTAGCCTCCAGGAGGAGAACACCTCGCACCACACTCGGCAGCCGGGGCCATCCCCGAGACCGAGTGGCTCAGGTGCGAGGAACTCCCCGCCGCGCCATAGCGTGCAATCCAGGTCACATCCGCGGGAGACTCCTCCCTCCGGACCCTCCACCGAGGAAGTGGCCAGAGCAGTGGCCATCTGCATGGAGTTCCTTAAAGCTCAAGGGGCTCCAATCCAGATGCCTGATGATCACCAGCCGAGAAACCTGAAAAGGAGGATCGGTCAGGATGATGGTGGACAAGTTCCACCACATAGAGAGCTCGGCCAGAGGTGGCGAGGGGACACCCGAAACTCCAGTAAGGAGAGGAGGAGGAACCCTCAACCCTCTGACCACTCTGAAGCTCAGAATTCCATGGGGCCCTCCAAGGACCCGGAATTCGCCCGCCAAAGCGTTCACGAACGCTTGGGTTCGAGGGAGGTGAGTGTGCATAGCCGCCTCACCTTCCCAGAGGATACCGGACCCCACCCAACCTTGTCTCAGCCGGGGACGAAAACCACTTCCACCTCTGAGAGAGGAGGGAGCGAGGTCCCTGAGGCTGGGTACAAGGGGAAGGCGGTCATGGTTCCATCGAACTCGCCCTTCCAGAAGTGGATTCTGGAAGAGCATGTGCCAACGGTCAAAATCCCGGCACATATTACTTACGATGGTACCTCAGATCCTAAGGATCACATTGCCTCTTACGAGGGGCACATGTATCTGAACCCGAGGTCTGAGGCTACCTGGTGTAAATACTTTCCTACGACCCTCAAAGGTGTTGCCCAATCCTGGATCACCAAAGGGCTCAAGGAAGGCTCCATAACCGGTTGGAACGACCTCTCCAACAAGTTCAAGAGCAAATTCTCTACGGCCAACCGCCGAGAGAAGACCACTGCAGAGCTAATGAGTCTGCAGCAGGCGGAGGACGAGAGCCTCCGCGACTATCTGACTCGCTTCAGCAACGAGTCATCCGGAATCACAAGCCTGGATCAAGGCCTGGCCGTGTTCGCGCTACGGAACGGCCTCCAAGCTGGAAAGTTCCTGGACTTCATGGTCATGCATCCCCCGCAGACCCTGGAGGAAGCCTTGGAAGCATCGGATAGGTTCATCCGAGCCGAGGAGTGGAACAGATCCAGGTCTCAGTCTTGTCCGAGAATTGAGAAGCCGAAAGGGCAGCAGCCCGAAGTCTCGGCGCAGAGGAAAGGGAAGGCTAAGGCCTCAGAACCGTCCTCTGCTGCCGAGCCGAAGAAGGAAAGACACTTTCCCTACACGGGAAGGTACGATTCATACACTCCACTCTCCCTTCCCCGTGCTAAGATTTTCAGCACGACGAAGGACGAGGGGAGATTCAAAAAACCTCGTCCGTTGCCTCCCTGGCATCAGACGAGGGGAAAGGACCAGTGGTGCGAGTTCCATGACTCACCCGGACATCGCACCGAGGACTGCGTCCAGCTGAAGGACCAGATTGAGGATCTGGTCCGCAAGGGGTACCTGAGCCAATACCTCGCGGACAGGCGCGAGGAGAAAAAAGCTGAAAAAGATTCTCGGCAGGACCTCAACTTCGCTCGGAAGAAGGATAAGGGACCTCAGGGCAAGGAGTCCCTCGACATCCTAGTTATTTCCGGGGGAATCTCGCGAGGCACAGCCAAACGCCAACTGAGGGGTCTAACCCATCAGATTCATCAGGCTGAGCTTCGGCAGTCCCAGTCACCGGCGCCGAACATCCTGTTCACAGCCGAAGACTGTGAGGGGGTGGTATACCCCCACGATGACCCACTAGTAATCATTCTGGGCATCGCCAACCGCAACGTCTGGCGGACCCTCGTCGACGGCGGTAGCGGGGCGAACATCCTCTTCCGAGGAGCGTTCGACCAGCTGAGGATGGGAGCCGAGCACCTGGCCCCCGCACCCTACCCGGTGTCTGGATTCAACGGCTCTTCATCGTATCCTGACGGGAAGATTACACTTCCTGTCACCATCGGCGAAGGCCGAGCAGCTAGGAATATCATGGCCGAATTTTTGGTCGTAGATGCTCCATCTGCATACAACGTGATCATGGGGAGACCCCTCATTCACGGCATTCAAGGAGTCGTCTCCACGTATCATCAAATCATGATATACGTTTCAGACGAGGGACGCTCCGAGAAAATAAAGGGCAGTCAAAAAGAAGCCCGCCGATGCAATCACCTCAAGCCATCCACGTCTCGCCGAGGCGACCGTGGCGATGGGGAGGAAAAGCACCGGGACCGAAACGCCAAAAAGCCGAGAGGCTCAGACGTTTCGGCTAATGAAGCCCCAGACAACGAGAAATCTGATGGGGGCCAAAAGGCTGACTCCGCCTCAGAGCTGAACGACTCTGATGGCCAGCCGCGGTCAGGAAAGTCTGCTAATATTGATAGCAGGCCGGAATTCGAGGAATCCAACTCTAAGAGCATGGAGACGGATGACCTGACCGAGTCAATAGAACTGACCGTAGGAGATCCGAACAGATGTGTTAGCATCGGGTCGTCACTGGAGCCAAACACCCGTGCGGCACTCGTCCAACTCCTACGGGCCAGTGGAGACGTGTTCGCCTTCTCAGCCGCAGAAATGCCCGGGATTGATCCGGACTTCGTCTCCCATAGGCTTAATGTCGACCCCTCCAGTCGACCCATTAAGCAGAAAAAGCGGAACTACTCCGCCGAAAAGAACCAGAACATCGCAGCTGAGGTCGATAAGCTCCTAGATGCTGGGTTCATTGAACCCTGTCAGTATCCGGAGTGGCTGGCCAATGTTGTAATGGTTCAGAAGGCAAATGGTAACTGGAGGATGTGCGTTGACTTCACGGACCTGAATAGGGCATGTCCCAAGGACTCCTATCCGCTGCCGAGGATCGACCAACTGGTCGACTCGACAAGCGGGCATGCTCTGCTCAGTTTCATGGACGCATTCTCGGGATACCATCAGATCTTCATGCACCCCGAGGACCGAGCTAAAACAGCGTTCATAACAAGTTCCGGGTTGTACAATTACAGAATGATGCCCTTCGGATTGAAAAATGCGGGGGCAACATATCAGAGGTTGGTTGATCAGGTTTTCGCCGAGCAAAAAGGCCGAAACATGGAGGTTTATGTTGACGACTCAATCGTCAAAAGCATAAAAGAAAAAGATCATGTCACGGACCTAGCCGAAACCTTCGCCACCCTCAGAAAATACAAAATGAAGCTGAATCCGAAGAAATGTGTCTTCGGCGTGAAGTCAGGCAAGTTCCTCGGCTTCATGGTCAGCAAGAGGGGGATTGATGCAAACCCCGCCAAAGTACAAGCTGCTTTAGACCTCCCCGAGCCGAAGACAAAAAGGGATATTCAGCGTCTAGCCGGGAGAATGGCTGCCTTGTCCAGGTTCATCTCACGAGCCTCAGACAAAG